AGAGTGACATTTGGTATTTATTTGGCTCACTTGAGCCTGATGGCCGGATATCTTACTTCATGTGTGAAGAGACATCAGCAAGGGGTAGAACCCCCCCAATCCACATGTCCTCCAGCCCCACTGCCGGGGTATCATGTCTGCCCTTTCCACCACTCCACACAGAGTGGAACACAATCTCTTCAAGACCACATTGAACCACTCACATTTACCTCCTCAAGTTTCAAAGCTATTGCAGCTATTGAGCGAAAAACCTATTGAAAAGTTTTCTTGAACTCATGCTCCTTGTAAATACTTCGAGCCATTTCAAACAGACTAATTTTTAAAATGTGCCCTGTTACATTTTTATTTGAATTTTTGAATAAAGTTATCATATTTCAACACAAAGGAAATAGATTTTGGAAGCGATTCCATTAGTTTGAAATGGATTGATCAGAAAGGCAGTTGAGCACTGCAAATATCATGTGTTATGTGAGGAAAATGGACCCCTTCAGAGCGGAGAGGAACATTTGCTTCGAGTGTGGTGTCACTACGAGGGCAATACTTGAAGGAAGGATCAAAATACATTCTCCTGCTTTCAAGTAGGTCTTGTGCATTAACAATTGTCTTTATGTATCAGTTTGATGTAACAGTGATGTTCAGCTTCATAAGAAGATCATTTTCAAAGCTGGTGCCGCTTGCCCCAGGACCAAATGCCATGTTCAAACATACAGAGTGGAATCCTAGAGAGAGGTCTGAGACGCTGGCAGCAACGGCAGCAGGCAATGTCTCCAGCTCTACTCCACTGATGGGACTCTGTTCTTTGATATAGGCTTTGCTAATGTGAGCATCCTTGGTGTCTCTGTAGGATCACCTTTGACAATAGCCACTCAGGCTTCCATGGGAAACAGAGAATATGCCCAACAGAATCTCCACACTTCACTCAGAACATAAAGACTCTAGCTGGCAGCTAGAATAGGCCATTAATTTGACCATGATGAGACAACAGGTCACACACCTGATCAGATGCACAAGGAACTAAGAGGTGCTGCTTTTGTTACAACTACTGTTACATAAGCTGGATGCTGCTTACTGACAACTACAGTTACAAAAGAAAGATGCTACTTTCTTACAATTTAATACTGTCATACAAGTAAGATGCTACTTTCTTACAATTTAATACTGTTATACAAGTAAGATGCTACTTTCTTACAATTCAACACTGTTATACAAGTAAGATGCTACTTTCTTACAATTCAATACTGTTATACAAGTAAGATGCTACTTTCTTACAATTTAATACTGTGGTACAAGTAAGATGCTACTTTCTTACAATTTAATACTGTTATACAAGTAAGATGCTACTTTCTTACAATTTAATACTGTTATACAAGTAAGATGCTACTTTCTTACAATTTAATACTGTTATACAAGTAAGATGCTACTTTCTTACAATTCAACACTGTTATACAAGTAAGTTGCTACTTTCTTACAATTCAATACTGTTATACAAGTAAGATGCTACTTTCTTACAATTCAATACTGTTGTACAAGTAAGATGCTACTTTCTTACAATTCAATACTGTTATACAAGTAAGATGCTACTTTCTTACAATTTAATACTGTTATACAAGTAAGATGCTACTTTCTTACAATTTAATACTGTTATACAAGTAAGATGCTGCTTTCTTACAACTGCATTGTCTTTCTTACAATTCAATACTGTTATACAAGTAAGATGCTGCTTTCTTACCACTAGTGTTACTAAAGGTAAACTGTCTTTATCTCAGCTAATGTTATACAAGATGCTGCGAATGTTACCTAGTCTTTCGTAGTACTATTGTTACACAAGAAATATGCTGCATTCTTAAAACTATTGTTACACAAGGTAAATGCTGCTTTACTACAACTACTATTACACAAGATAAATACTGCTATCCTACAACTACTGTGACGAACATTGGCTGTTATTTTCTTCCAACTATTGCTACACAAGGTGGATGCTGCTTTCCTACAACTACTGTTATGCAAACTGGTCGGCAAATTGTCATGTAGGTTACTGCAAAGGACTTTATCATTTATTTAATCTTTTCAGTAAATGTAATCTAATAGCATGAACAGGATCAAGGAAGTCTCTGACCACACCGCCAGTTTATCAAAAGGTTTGAATTCTATGCCATAGAACAAGGAAAATAACATAGAACGCATGTCTTGTAAATTGCAACCAATCAGCCCCATGTACGATGGCATGTTTCACAATGTTCATACATATTCCTTTGAAAATCTTAAAAGACCTGGACTGACATTACATGCCACAAAGAATGATAGGTCATAGCAATAACTAATAACTCACATTATCTACAACTGTTTAAGTGTAGACCCCCAGAGCGGAACTCATGCACTACTTCAAATATTTTTCCATTAGAACCTTTACTACTGTAATCTCCAAGATAATGAACGCGGTAAAGTGCTTGTCAACCAATAACACTTTACAATTGTGAGGCCGCAAATGTTTCTCCTTGAAACCACGAGTTGTCAAAATGTTTTCTTGTTTTGTTGAACTAAATGCATGGCAAACCTCCCACCTAGCTGGTGTGTGTGTATATGAACGAAACTGCTGGGTTTATGGTAAACAGGCAAGCTGAGGAAAAGACTGGAGAGGCATTTGTCAGGTAATGGTTCTATGATTAAAGTTAGTTGAGGGGCACGGGTGGCCCAGTTGTCCAAGGCTCCACAATTTGCTGCGCAGAGTTGTGTCTCTTGGCAAGCTAGAAACCTATGATCATGGGTTCGAATCCTGGTTCGCCCCTATTATGGTTCTTGGTTTTTCAGCACCATACCATGTTTATGGGTTTCACTAAAGTGATAAATGTCTGAGACCTGCTTCACTTCAGGTTTTCCTCAGATATTCAGCTGACACATTGTGATATAACTGGAATACTGTTCAGAGCGGCGTCTAACCCAAATCACTCACTCACTCACTATGGTTAGTGGAAGGAGTGTCTGCAAGGAGAGCGGAAGGTCGGTGGTTGATCCCTGGCCACGTCATACCAAAAGACGTTAAAAGATGGTACTTGCTGTTTCCCTGCCTGGCGTTTGGCATCATGGGGATAAAACAAAGAATGGTCGGCTCTCGGTCAGTATACTGTGTCTGAGTGGGGTATCATTGTTAATAAACTGTGGCATGTTATCTCAGTGGGCTAGCACTATAAAACTGGCATCAATCCAGACTTACAAGCAGCCACAAACACGCATGCATGCACCCACCCCCCCCCACCCCACCCTCCAACAGGGACAAATGCCTGCCATTTTGGTGGTCCTCTGAACTGAGGAAATCACTCACAGCCCCCCCAGGCATGTCACGGCTCAACTGAGGACACTGAGTGGACCATTATGGCACTATGGCAGAGAACACATGACGTTGGCATGGCCATGTGGCTCAAAGAAAACCTGAATGAAACTGATATTGGCCAAAAAACAACCTGGTATTGTTCACATTGTTGTTGGAAAGGGGCAGTGGGTTACATAACCGAACAGCCCAACCATTGTTGAATTTGTCAAAACTATGTGGTTCTGATTTCAGAAAATTTATTCTAAAAACACCGATTAAGCAAACATTTTGAAAAGAATTACACTAACGTGAAGACAGCCTTATCTCATTTGTAAAGAAAATAGCACAAGCTGTCAACATGCGGAACTGATTGCATCGTGGTAACTATCCATTCTTGTGGGACGAGGAATATGTCTAACCCGTAACCTATCTAAATAAATTGTACATAACATGTGGCTAAACGGTCCTCGAAATCTTAGCAATCCATATTGCTTTTCCTTCTGAAATACCATTTACAAATATTTTTTCAAATTTGACAAGTTTAACTTTTTTGGGGTTGGCATAATGTATAAAATATGCACAGGTTATAGACAATTGTTTTGTATATGCAACTGTTTAACATGTATTTGAGCACACATTAAACTCAGGATCATTCAGGCTTGTTCCATAGCATTAAAAAATCATAAACAGTTCTTCTACAACATATATAGTGTTCAACCAGTAATAACAGTGTTGGGATTGATGCTACTATTTCTGCAGACAATTACAGTATTGGGAGTGATGCTACAATGTTCTGTAGACAATTACAGTGTTGGGAGTCAAGTACAATGTTCTGAAGACAATTACAGTATTAGGAGTTATGCTACAAGGTTCTGTAGACAATTACAGTATTAGGAGTTATGCTACAATGTTCTGCAGACAATTACAGTATTAGGAGTTATGCTACAATGTTCTGTAGACAATTACAGTATAAGGAGTTATGCTACAATGTTCTGAAGACAATTACAGTGTCGGGAGTGACGCTACAATGTTCTGTAGACAATTACAGTGTCGGGAGTGATGCTACAATGTTCTGTAGACAATTACAGAGTCGGGAGTGATGCTACAATGTTCTGTAGACAATTACAGTGTCGGGAGTCATACAACAATTTTCTGTAGACAATTACAGTGTCGGGTGTCATGCTACAATGTTCTGTGGACAATTACAGAGTCGGGAGTGACGCTACAATGTTCTGTAGACAATTACAGTGTCGGGAGTGATGCTACAATGTTCTGTAGACAATTACAGAGTCGGGAGTGATGCTACAATGTTCTGTAGACAATTACAGTGTCGGGAGTCATACAACAATTTTCTGTAGACAATTACAGTGTCGGGTGTCATGCTACAATGTTCTGTGGACAATTACAGTGTTGGGAGTCATGCTACAATGTTCTGTATAGACAATTACAGTGTCGGGAGTGATGCTACAATGTTCTGTAGACAATTACAGTGTTGGGAGTGATGCTACAATGTTCTGTAGACAATTACAGTGTTGGGAGTCATGCTACAATGTTCTGTAGACAAATAGTTACAAGGTTGAGTGGAATGTAAAATCATCAGTTATAACGGCAAGAAACATTGGCGAAGCAGTCACGTCAAACATTAGTTTACCAATGCTAGCATCTTCAGGGCTGTGTCAGTGATTAAACATACCTGAACTTGTTGTGGTACCAGAGAATGGAAGGTTCTGGGTTGCCTGTGATAACACACTTCAAAATGATGTCCACGCCAAGGGCCAGTTCTTCCTTCTTTGGGCGCTTCAGCTCCACCACTGCTGTCTCCGCAATCCCTGTAAGGAAGAATAAATATACTTAGAGATAGCTCACAATAACAGTGGATGTTATGTACACTCATCGGCGTGTTTTACTAACGCAAACATTTGTTTGGATTACGAAATAAGAAATCGTTGCTGCAAAGGAGAAGATAGGGTGGACTGTTATTGCTGGATGATGGTAGTGACAGTCTGATTGGGAGAAATTTGTAGTCCATATTTGTTTTCTCTCTCCAAATATATCAATATTACTAAACCACTAGTATGAAATGAGCTAGTTGTAAAACTCATGATGTCTTCATAATCGTCATGGGTTTTATACGATAAACATGGAGATTTTATTGTAAGGTTAAATGAACAATGTGAATCATTATGGAAATGAATCATATCATGACCAGTTGAAATATTGTCGGAATCGGCATTTTACGGAGCAACATAAAATCAATAGTGATGGCAATAAAGAGAATCAAGAGGAAGGATGTGTGGATTCAAGATTCAGCAACCATGATTTTTTTTTTAAAGAAGTCTTGACAAGGACGACATTGTGTCTGCTCATTGTGCCACACCTGGCACAGATCATTTGTGCTATATGCACATGTCGGACCTTTAACCCCTGCCAGCTCAATATGAAAACATCAAACAACACCAGTCTTGTTTCCGAATGACAGGATAGGATTTGACACAATGCCACATAACCAAGTACCACCAGGCTTTGAAACTCCCTGCTGATTTTGAGTATGTGCCAGAATTTCCGACCATCTTTCAAATCGCTCGAGCCACAAGTCTATACAATAGAGACCCAGCCTAATCTCCTCCTGAGACGTACATCTTAACTTCAATTAACAATTACATCTCCCACAGAATAATGCTGTAATTTCTCTTTCATACTCTAGCAATGGCCAAGCCTGACCGTGAATACATCTAGAATACTTTGGCAGTCAAACATGGACTTGGATGTGAAGGTGTCGTCTGCTCGTCAATGGAAGTCGTTATACTGTGTGATTAGTTTATATGAATGCCCCTCATCTTGTTAACCCTTCTCTGTAGGTGCTATCTATAGGCAAGCCTACCAAACAATTGGGGAAACGTATTGAAGTGTATGACTGACTCATCTCCAACACCATCAGATACCAATGGTTTTAGGTATCAGAAGACCCTCACTACAAAGAACCTGTCATATCAATTTCAAAATTGGTAATTATTAACAAGTTAACAACAAAGCCAATCCTTAGTGTACCATAACCTGAACGTCATGGCAACCCTCTTTGTACACAACTTGTGTTTTCCCTACACAGTACACCAGTCAACCATCCTCAGGCTAAAGGATACCCTAGAACCCTCTCCTCCTGTGTTGGTCTTCTTCACCTGTGGAACTTTCAGCCAGTTTACCAATTAGAGGTCAGAATAGTTGTTTACTATGCTACGGTTCAGAGAGTTGAAATACACTGCCAGTCAGTGGAAAATGAGCTTTAAGTTTCAACAGTTAGAGAAAATAACCCTTGGCAATGTTTGTTTATTTTGACTGTGGACTGTAATAAAACTGTCAATTTCAACCCATCAGAAATCAATTACTGTCACTGTGTATGAAAACTTTGAGATCGTGTTACAATCATCTACATATTGTTGAAAACAGTGGGAATTAAGGCATCATATCACTTACGAGTTCAAATATGATTTATATACCTCCCACAGGTTATGCCCCTAAAAGCTATCATATCTGCCACTAACAATTTCAAATACCAGTACCTCACACAGTGCCTATTCTAAACTTTAATACCTAGGCAATTTAAAGTAACAAATTTTCATAATCTACCATAATCAGATTGGTGAAGTCCTGTCGGTGACTACAAAGCATCCTATATGGGTGTTGCTATCTGACAGAGCTCAGCGTACAGTGCAGGATTAGCGACTTTTACAGGAAGTCGGCCTCCTGCCGAGCTCAAAATAACCACCAACATTCCGTGTGGGGACATCACATTCATATGTGTAATGACAAACAAACCCAAAAAGTTGATCTTGTAAATGAAAGAAAAATAGTCATTATAACCCAAACCACTGTATCTCTTACAAATTCGGTAACTTGCAACTTCCTGTTACAGCTCTGGTTACCATGGAGCTGTAGGTACCAACAGGCACCCAAAGTCTTACATTCCTACTGGTTCCTCCATGAAGGAAAAAATAACAACTTTTTTTACACAAGTCAAACATACTGAAAATGCAAATGAGGGTTTATTTGTCATAGAACCCCGTAGAGTCATGCCACTGCAATGTGGTTAGAGTTACCTGCCCTTGCCTTGTATGCAGATCCTTCTGCCATTGGTGATAAGTGACAGGTCAAAATAAGAAACACAATTTTTTTCTCTATGCTCCAATGAGAAGACGAATATGTCCCCAAATTATAACAACTCCCCATATTGTAGCATTTTGATTGTTTTATTTTGTTTGTTTGTTTGTTTGTTGTTTAACGCCACACTCAGCGTGATTTGACGCACTTCGCGACGTAAGACCTGTTTTATCACAATATAGATCACGGTTATTGATCAGATTGCCTTGACGTGGCACCGCCATTTTGTTTGAAGCAATTGCAAGCGATACGCGAGGTTGAATCTGATTGGTTCATAGGAGAGGCATAGGAAGGACATAAATCGTAAAAAACACTGGTGGCGCTATGATTAAGAACTGGAATTCCAGCCTAGTTGGGTAAAGGTGGAAAGTGGACTTTTAAAGTCAGTTAACTCCCTTGCCTCGGGAAGATGGCTATATGATGGCGGTCTGTAAATAATCAAGTCTGGAACACACAATACAGTGATTGACATCATGAGCATCAATCCATTCAATTTGGATACGATGACATGCATCAACCAAATCAGCAAGCCTGACCACCCGATCCCGTTAGTCGCCTCTTGCGACAAGCATAGTCACCTTTAAAGGCAAACATGGGTTGCTGAAGATTAGAATGAGTAGAGCACCATGACTTAAATTACAGTATCGAAATAGGGACATTTTAAAAACATAGTGGGAATTGAACCCAGAAAGTGTGCTCACAAACCAACAACTGGAATCCAACAAATCCTTCGTTGTCTTTGAAGCATCAGGCAAAAATTCATACACTTAATGTTCATAAACTCTAAAACCCAATTTAACACTGGCAATCTTTTCAGCCAGTTTTGCAGTCATGTTCCAAAACAATTTACATTATTTGAAAAAGGGGATAAAAACATTCTCACAATCATTGCAAGTTGGCACACCTCTGGGAAATATGCGGAGTTGTTCATCTTGCCATGATGGCTCCACAATGAGGTGGCTAATTCCAGGGAGCCATCAGCAAGATTTATACCTGATAGAGACTCCATTCATTTACACAAGCAGAGAATTAGGGTGAGGAGACTTGACACAATCCCCAAACTTCTAATCGTAAAATCCCTGATCCTCCACAGGAGGGATAAGAATAGAAAGACAGATCTCATTTGTCAAGGAACAAGGCTGCCTTCAATTCACGATGTAATTGGCAATATCAAACCAAAATGAAACTAATCGCAAAGAACTTGGAACATTTACCCTGTAAATATCAACTGGATCATTAATCAATGAAATATATCATTAGCTTACTTAACGTAGTAGAAGAGCCATCTCCGAGAAATAGCTTGCGGTATAGGTTCATTTCCGTTTACTTAAAGACTTTCAGCAAGCATCAACAGTGAGAAAGCAACATCAAAACTTTTCAGTCAATTGTCAGCCGTCACATTTCTTCACACGTATCCAGCAACCAACACACATATCGGGGTATGATGACACACAAGATCAGCCAGTCAGGCTGCAGTTGGTTTCCATTCAACCACACACGCAAATTAACAGATAACAGATTAACAAATAACAGATAACATATAACACGCATCAGATTACAGTCACCATTTAATTTTCAAGGCTTGGTCCAGTTCCTTTGTCACAGCAAATCATTTTTTGTTTTCTAATTTGCATGCGAAACTGTAACTTTGCATATTAAATTTACAATTAATAGCTCATTTGTCTTTTCACAGACAAGGAAATTATTTCATCCACTCGGCAATAACATAAAACAGCATGGCTAGTGCACCTGTATGCTTCCCATTATTATAAAACTGACCCTCACAAAATACATCACCCTACCCGTCACATTTGAAGTGGAGTTAAACTTGGGCTGTAAGGGACATGTTGACACCTCATTGTAGACATTTAACCCTGAAACTGAAGCTTCTTGGCTTTACCTTCATTCCCCAAACAGCTCCTGGTGACCCTGCCAAATACCAGGCAAATTGTGGTTGCCTTGAATCTGTCCTGGCTGACATAATATGCAAGATTTCCATCAAAATTGGGAACATGATGTCATAATTCTGTCGCTTGATGTCACTATCTGTCATAAATACTGAGTTATGATCTTTGTGCAGTACAAAGGTTTGTCTGGCTAATATCAGCTTCAGGAGTCTCGTACAGCCTGCAGTCCCACAACTATTAAACGAGAGATTAATCTAAGACAAATAATTCATTGTTGGCCTGAGTCACGAAATACATTTTTTTTCATCATGACGAACATGAGAATGATATTCTCCTTTTCTGGTTGACACATGATGACATCATCCATCCCAGGTAGCACCATTCAAAGGGAGGTAATCATCTCACAGCATTAAACCTCTTAGAAATGCCACAGTTCATCTCATCCTCACACAAAACGCTGGCAAATCAAGATAGATATATCATATTGAAAACTGATATTTGATGCTACAAACATCCGACTTCTAATTAATCATTTTAATAAATATTGAAAAAAAATTTTGTTTTTGATGTAACAAAAAATATTTTAACATCAGGAATTCAACATGTGTTTATCTTAACTTCGATTTTCAGTTTAAACTGTGCCAGATTCCTACCTGTATCATATCATTGCTGGAACCTACCTACCTAATAATGCCATCCTTCAAAACACTCCTCATTACAAATAAATGATTATTGTCATTCTGAAGATATGCTTGCTTTTTATCATT